CGAAATAAACAATGTGCAGCTGTCGTCAGGAAGTAGCACCGTACATGAAAGGTCTTGTTTCATTTACTTAACTTTCATATATGACAACATATGCCATGATTCTAATCCAGGCTGTATTGCTTATAAATGCTGGTGCCACAATGCCAGATCCAAATCAACCACAGATACATATTTCCAGAGTGTTGCCAAGACTAAACACATACATACATACATATAATCACCATTCATAAAGAATCAGTACTTGACTGTGCAACTAGCTGTAAAACACTACATGATGTAAGGGATTCTAAACATCGTGTGATTGTTGATTCCAGAAATGGGGGTTTCTGTATCTCAGAAACAGTCACCCTCCTGGGATATTCAGGCCCCACAGTGTCTAGAGTTCACAGAGAACGGTGTGATAAACAAAACAAAACAACAACAAACAAAAAAAAACATCAAGTCAAGGGCAGATATGTCGCTGAAAACACCTTATTAATGGTCATAGGAGAATGGCTAGACAAAGTTAACAGGAAGGCCACAAGAGAATAAGGGCTCAGTTCAGGGGTTTGCAGAAAGGCTTCTCTGAATATAGAACTCATCAGCTCTGAAAGTGGTTCTGTAGACAAAAGGGCATAGGTCTACCTAATGAAATGGCAGCTGAGTGTATAGTTTAAAGGAATTCCATAACCAAACGCTACTATTGGCAATTCACTTAAATTACAGTACTTTAAAGCCAAGTTTGAATCGGGAATTCTTCAACACTTGATAGTTTACTCATTCCTACCACTTTTCAAAGATCTCTTTTCACAATTCAGCTTTAATAAATAAATGCACTAAATAATTCAGGCCCATTAAACTGTCAAGGGCTTTATAGTTGGAAGGAGGTCTGAGACAGCGTTTTTGTAAGCGTAAATAGCTGTTCTTTAATTAGGTTTTTCTCCGCTGGGCACCGAGCGGAACAGACACGCAACACTCCAGAATGCGGAAACTGTCAGAAACGTCGTTCTACAGCTCGTGTCAGTCGTCCTCAACCGGCACTGCCGCTAATCATCCACCGTGACCTCTGATTTGTTTGCATCACACCGGCGTTTTTATCAAAAGCAGCTGAAAAGGAAAGGAATGAGGGGAAAAACGAAAGAAAAATGCATATGATGAGAAAGGAAACCACATACCAGCGCTTGGGCTCTTAAAGCCCATCTCTTGCTATATTAATACTGTATGTAAGAGAGTGAGTGAGCAAGCCAGATGTTTCAAAATGAATATGACACCCAGGCGAGCAGGCTTTTTGGTGGAGAGTAGTAATTTTGCATAAATAGGGAAATCAGATGCAGGTCTGCTAGTTAACATGTATATGTAATGTTTTTCGTAAGGCAGCTTAAATTGCTCACAGAGACACTTTCACCTACAGGCCCATGCAAGCAGTTCACTAAAACCCTCAGTCTTAAAATTGCAAAACAGAATCTTGACCAATACAGCTTTCGGATAATGTTACGCACATTTTATCCCCTTCGAAGGGCAAACATAATCAGTATGCAAACAGCACGCCAAAGGAAATGTAATTAAGGTTGCAGATTCAAATCTGAAGTAAGAAACACAACAAACCAGTAGCTGCTAACACTTCAATAACCACAAGCAGCCTAAATTGCTTCCGATAATATCACGTCAAGAAAATAACGTAATGATGAAATGCGGCATATTTGTGGGTTTGCCTTAACTGGTATTACTCTTGCTTCCGAAGGGATTTTAGACTGTCAGGGAAGCTTTCTGAGAATGTCTCGGGAAATAACACAGAAGTATAACCCCTCAAACGGCTTCAGTTCCGAGATGAGGAAAAGAGCTTAAGAGGTCAGAGAACTGCGGTCCATCATTAGTAACCTCACCTGAAATACCTGATTACCGCAACCAGTCGCTTAAAACAAACAAAACTGCTGAAACAGAAAAAAAAACAGGCAGGACCAGCAAGTATTTTTGCATATACTGTCGTGAAGGTTAATTTGTTATTCCAGCTAGCTGTCCTAAAATAAAATAAGGTTTGCTAGCAGTTTTGTTTTATTATCCATCTTTTCTGACCTTGTAGGTCACACCTAGCAGCCAAAGCACACAGCACCTGGTGATTCTTGAGACAAGGGAAGCAAAATGCAAAATATCGTTAACAACTGCGTCTTGTTATTGCTCGTAATCATTTTTTGAACAACAAGTGCCATCATTTTTTTCCTGGATGGATATTCAATCTGCCAGTCTCCAGACTGCTGCACCAACAGTTGTATATCTATAAGACACAGATCGAAATCACTGTATTGCAATTCCGGGGTGCCCCAGCCCAAAGCAAACAGTCAAGAAAAATTCATCAAAGCATATGATTGTTTGATCTGTTTTTCCTCTGCTCTTCATTTGGGGCCTCTCCTGGAACTATGCTAGCTGTCAGTCAGTAGGCATGCCATTTCTAAACAGAAAACCTCTTCAGCCAGTGAGGGTATCTTTTATCCCCATCCTCTACCTCTTTATTACGCTCTGTTGATGGGACCAGAACAGAGGCTGCCAAGAAAAAAAAACACTTTCCTTGGTTTCTCCCCCACTTCCCCACACCACCCTGAAGAGGGCATCTGGAGTGATTTCACCTCTCGCACACTGTGACATACTTCACAAGCAGGTGGCTTTCAAAAGAGGTTCCCTGAAAGGTAAACAATCAGCTTTTTTTTCCTTTTGCCAATCAGAAAACTGGCAAAGATTCTCGATAAAGAGTTCCAAGGAATTCAACAGGCTAGAATGTGAATGAACACCACTGCTTCTCCTGTCTCCCATGTGTGACAGAAGCCCTTTTTAAGAAAAACTGAAACGTCATTAGACTTTTCAAAATCTGTTTCTGACAATCTTCCTATTTACCTTTCTCCTATAAGAAAAGGTAAGAAAAGAAAAGAAAGCTAACCACCATTTTACCACACATATTACATATTTCATTTTTTTCCAAAGTTACTGAAAAAGAAAAATGTTGTGCACACCATGAATCTTCAGAACATTCACATGTTGCTTACATCATGCAGTAAGTCCAACACAGAGAGAATCAGACCGTTAAAAGATTTACTGGTTATTTTTAAAATTCACAGCTGGGTTCGCATTTCCATACTAGAAATGCAGAATTTAGGGCTATATCATTAAACTTTGGAAAAAACGTGTGCAGGGCATAAATATGTCTTTTCAACCAGGACAAAACATTTTCTGCACTTAAACTTGGGGCATTGGAAGCATGAAAAACCCATTAGGTTAGAAACATACACAGGCTTACATATTCCTTACTGGGTTGACAACCTCCAATAACTTTATTTCCAAAAACTTTCCACTATGTATAAACAGAACTCAACTTGCATGGATCACTCCAGTGATACTTGCAGCTAAGCAGAATTTATGACATTATGGTGCTCATGAACTATAATTGGGCATCTCTGGAGCTGCACACTTCTGCAGAGGACCCCAAAGATTTGCAAGCCAGTGATATCGGCCTGGACAAAGGTCTAATAAAAACAAAAATCACTGCAGCATCAAGCTTCTTTCAACAGGCAACAAGAACACGTATATAAAATTCAGCCAGCTCGGTTTCTGGAAAATCAGCAATTTACTCAGCAGTTCACTTATAGAATTCTTTTTTGATAACTTCATCAAAAAGCAAAAATATAGACCAAGAGTTTTTTTTACCAGGTTCTGCCTGACATAAATTAGATATTGTGCACAGTATGGCATTTAGGCATGACTCAAGCTCAACAAAAACAACAAAAATGACTGGGTTTGTAAGATGATCATCATTTATAGAAATGTACATAGAGATCTACAAATATACAGTTTCAAACATGAAATGTTAGATCTATATAAGGGCAGACAGCTGTTTACTGTTCCCATCAAACTGTCTGCCAATAAAGACTATACCCTCCAAAGTTGAAAATTTGCAAGAGAGTTTAATGATTGACTTTTAGCCCAAATTTTCCCACAGTGTAAGAAGTGATTTTTTTTGCACCAGATACAGTTAAATATATTCTTCAAGGATTTTAAATCACAACCGCTTTCTCTGGGTATCCATTTCGACATTGTCAAATAATACACATACAATACTGTTTATGATATTGATAATAATGAACTGATATCCCTAAATAGTGACACATGATGCCTACACAGGTTTGCTCGTATTGTCAGTGGATAGAACTGAAATTTAAAATATAAACCACGAGCATTACAAAACTTTTCAAGATCACTTTGCAGTAATAACACAACAGTCAGAAGAGAGCTTTCTAATGGGATAGGGAAAACAATATTTATTTGATACTAAGAAACTGAAACTTGTAATTACTGTACATTCCTGTCAATGGAATATATACAGCTAATATCAGGGTCTGTATTATAAACAACCATTTTCTTTCATTTTACATGCCAGACAATTTCTGCTTAAAGGCCTACAACATTATGCGAAACATACCCATTATTCACCACATCTATTACTTTCATGATAATTCTGAGAAACAAAGCATTACTTATAGCTAACAAATATGTACCTATTGATATTTTAAGTGTAGGTAAGAATGCGCCTGATATCTATCTCTAAACGGTAAGTGAAGGACTTTACTGTACACAAAGCCTAAACATACAGGGGAGAACGTGAAAGACTGCATACAAATCAGGGAATGGGGTTTGTGCTCATTGATTGTCAGCTGCCCGCTCAATTAGGCGACAATGCTTTCTATACACGTTTAACATTGTATCCAATTTTAAAAACAAATGATTTAATAATTTACTCGTGCATCTTCTATGCACCACAATGTATTAAAAGTTTTGGTTTGTATAAAATAGGCCTATATACAAATTTTGTCATCGTTTAAGTGGCATATACTCCAGAGTCTCACATTTAATTTATTACAATTAAGACGGCTAACATGAATATGTAAGTCACGTTCTCCTTCGCTAAGACGAATTACTTGCTACTAAAAAGACCCGCAAACTACCCAAACTGTCGGTGACATACACCACAACATTACAAGTAATTAATAGATATTTCTGAATGGTCTCGGCATGCGCTCGCGTTTTCTTTACGTTTATGACAAAAAAGCAAACACTTACTGTGATGAGAATGGAGATTAATAGCCGATGAAAGATATTTGCCTGTATGAAGATGTACCGGGTGGCTCGTTCCCAGCTGCCCCGGGGACTGGGGTATTCGATCGGGAATGGCGGTTGCTCCGAATCGGTGCGACTCCACACCCACCCCAGAAAGCAATGGTGGGGGTACATGTACAGATCGAGAGGGTCCGAAATCTCGACCATCCATCATCCAAAACAGATGAAGACCAACGGTCAAAAAGGCAATTCCAGGCAATACTAGTGTGTTAGACAATCCGTTCTTTCGGGAAAAGTAATCTCCTCGTCAGGCATTCCTGCTTATCTAAAAAGTACAAAAAAAAAAATTCAGAACATACTTAGCAATCACAAACATCTTAATAAAAACCAGTAATACCAGTAAAAGATACACAGAATCTAACCACGCATATCCTAGCTCAGTATCGTTGCATTCCCCAAAATGACCATCTTGTCAAACGAGAATCATCAGTTTATATATAAGATCATATTATAGCTAAACTGCTGCTGTATATCGATAACGTTGGCGTAAACTTCCCACTGACTAAACGTTGGCACTAAGTTGCATAATGTTATGTCACTGCTGAATTGTTTGCTTTACAAATAACGTCAAAAAAGCTCGAAGAGGCTTACAAGGCTGCATCTCCCTTTAGTCTGAGATACATTTTAAACTTCTTTCTCTTTAGATAGGGATTTCAACTAATTATAAGAACAATCGTCATTTACCGTATCTGAATATATATTAACGCGCGGTCGCATGTTAAAAATACATTGAAATTACAGATTGTTACGAAACGCTCATATCAAATAACAAGACGTGTGAATGAATCGCTTCTCGTAAAGGCAAAGCAAAAAGCCCTTTCAATCTGAATCGAAACTTAGTAACAGCAACGTTAGGCGATAACTGATTGCTGTAATAGCGAACACAGAATATACCCCTTCTTCCTTTCACATCTAAAACATAAGCACGCTATTCTAGGCTGTGTGTTCTCATTTGTTATGCTTACACTATTCATTTTACATGCATCAGTTAATCATGAAACTGGAAGACAACCACCTTCCAGCAGCCAAGATAAATTCGGTATTGCTAATTAACTTGGATTACATTCTTAAATGTAAAAATATATGTAGATTGTTACATTAAGAAAACTCAGTTATTACTACTTTAACTGCAATTGTGTATACAATTTACTCTTCAGCCTCATGAAATAGACTTGTATTGGTGGGTTAAAGGTCTGCTCTATGCCTGTAAGTCAAGTTCGTCTCATGTGCAGCTATAGCCCAAAGGTACATGCAAAAATAGCGTAGATCACATCAGGGACTTTTTTTATTCACAATCTCTATTTGTTTTTAAAACACTATGTCACGCAATCACTCCAAGCACCAGATGTCATACAAGAAAACGGAAAACCGGAATTTTTAACAAGCTATTTATGTCGATTCACTGAAACTAAAATCTCCTATTGCGACAACCCAAAAAGCCTTAAATTTCATTATCTTGCCATATTTACGAATATTCTACATTACTTAATCGGACGCCTGAATTTCAATGTCCGACAATACGCTTTGAAACGTTTATTAACTTTCACACGCTAAACGTAGAATACACTTGCAACTCGGTAATGAATTTGATTTCTTTGCACAAGTACGCTACATCTAAATACAAAGTCCTTACTCGAATTGAAGTCCCATAAAATCCGACAAATCCTAAAGTTTGCAAACAGATTTAGGATATTCCATGAGCACACCATCCGTGGACATGCCGCAAGCTGACATCGGCGCAAAAAGCCCGTTTACACTCCCGCACAGTATTTCGCGAAGAAGTCCACAGCAATGAAAAAAGCATTGTTTTTTTTTCAACCCCGCCCACATTAAATCTAGAGAGGGGGGGGGGAATCGTAAAAAAAACTCTGCAATTGGGTAATATATGTGTCAGTCAATGTAATGAAAACACGCTGGCTCTTTGCCAGTCCTACAAAACCAATTACGAGCCAAGGAGACTGGTGGGTTTTCTGGACTCTCCTGTCTCCAAGACTGAGTGATCAAAACGGGCTGCGGAGATATTTGGGTACCATCTCTATAAGGAGCTACTTAATCCATTCTTTGACTGGTAATCAACACGGCGGAAGAAATCCGAAGTGGGAGAGAATCAATGAGCTGTTCAGAATATTTTAAAACCAGGTTTAGTAAAACACGTTGATTCTCGAACATGTATAAAAACGCATCCCTACTGTATTTTTAACATCTACAATTATTACTCATATGCTCATTTGTATTTTGTGAGTTTTAATTTTTTAGATGAGCGTGTCCTCAAATATTACACTGAAACACCTTTAGTCCAATGACAGCAAATCACAAAAGGAAAAACGTGATCGCTAATGCATAGATGTGGGTTGTGTATCAATGGGGCGGTAATTAGAGCTACTATTTAGGTGACATGGGAAATGTTTTCTCGAGCTTCAAAATGGGGATTCTACTGCCACGCAGCGGGCGATCTGCAGCCAGTTCGGTCTGGTAAAACGAAATACACGCTTAAGTATATGTGACTTGGGAGTTTAAATAATGACAAATAATGGCAACTACATCTTAAGGCCACGCACAATTAGCGTTTCTCATGCTATAATCAGCTAGTTAACTTCATAGCAGTAGATCAGCGGATTAATAATTGCAAATAATTAATTTCAGCAATGTTATTACACTGGCCAGCTGTCATTTCATGTTGTCCAATTACATGAAAGTCCCAAAATATGATTAACAGTGTTAATTATTGTAAAAGTGATATGTTTCACTTTAATAAATTGATATAATATCACATATTAACTTATGGTTTAAAGATTTATAATGGAAATTGTCAATCTATTCGTTTTCAACCACTCACCCTGGACTGGAACCCGTGGCAGTGTTTGGTGTAGGGGGCGCTGTGCTGCAGGGCGCCCGCGCCAGGCAGCAACGGGACAGGATGCCAGCCAATGGCAGGGCACCAGCACACTAACTAAAGACACTAACACAATAAGGCCAACTGAAAGATGCCAGCTAGCCTTACAACAGTGGAAGGGAACTGTAGAATTCAGCAGAAACCTGAGAATGTGTAACATGGGAATGCACAAGGTGCACGGACACAGAGACCATGGAGGTATCTGGTTCAAACATTTTAGGAAAAAAAATAACTACAGTAAAAATCAGATACATCTTCAGTCTTAAGGCCAGAAGTGTGAGGTAAAGTTCAGCTCACAAACAATAACTATTTCTGAACTACTTTCAGGACGTAGCCTAGTAGCCCTATTTTATAGCACAATTGATTACATATGATAAAATATGAATGATACAGTTTTTTTTGTTAATAAAAAATGTAGCCCTATATCGTGTGAATGGTTAATTGTACCAAAACATCATATGACAAAGAAAAATTGGACTTGTGTAGCCTCACAGTCTTGTAATATCCGTCTCAAACTGTGGTGGTTTCAGAGCAGTGGATGGTAGTTGAAACACACTTGTAGTGCAAGCCCATTGATTACAAAGATCAAGGCTTGTCGTAAAAGGAGAATGTGAAAAGAATACCTGTCAGTAATTTTTATACAGAATCATTTATCCTTAAAGATGCAACTTGGTCAGCTGACTGTGACCAGCTATAAGCTTGTTCAAACTGCAATTTTGTCTTATTGGCGTTAGTGTCAGACAATATGGCAGAATGCTCTGACAATGTAATTCACTCATGTAAACTGTTCTACCAGAGTTTGTTGTGACATACTTACTTGTCTGACATTGCCTCACATGGAACTGATACATAACTGAAATTCTCGAGATAGTTAATTTGAACTTATTTGAACTTTTTTTTTAACAGCACATTGCCAAAAGTGATTCCTGCTTGGCAGATTTATGCCAGATTCTGTCAATAGGAAGGCAAGTAAGCTTACATCTAGCTTTAAAGAGAATACTTTCTAAAGCTGAGTAGGTTTCAGTTACAGAAGTGCATGAAAAACACTCAAACGGATGAGATAAAANCATTTATTTAATATTGATTTTAACTCCTACAAGCAGAAGGTACCAGTGCATGCTTTAGTGCTTGGTGTCAAAGGCTGTGTATGCAATATATTTTTTGATTCAATGTATGAAAATTTAAATGTACATACTCAGAACACAACAGGGGTGAGTGATCTGTAAAATATATGCCACCTCTTTTTTATGATTCTATGACCCCACAAATCAGGCAAGAGAAGCTGTGATTTATTTAAAAGGGTAAGCTGAAATTAATCTAGTATTGTCAACATAATCTACCCAAATGTGCAGATACATGAAGTTATTACATTTATCCATCCATCCTTTCATCTATCCATCCATCTTCTCTACCCGGGTGTCCTATGCAGGATTGAAAGGGGTCCAGAGCCTATTCCAAAAAACATTTGTTGTGTGGAATCATAATGCGGGTTTTCCATTGTATACATTGCTAAATTTCAGTGGATTTCTATATACTGGACATTCCAATCTTTTTTCTACTGGCATTGCGCAGGGATTTTGTCTTTATTCTTTGGTGGCCTAAAATCATAACTCTTAATCAACAATGCAGATAGTGATTAAATGATTTGTACCAGGATGGATAAACTTCTTCTCATTATTGATTTTTCAGAGTTTATGCTGTAGGCCTAAATGAAACACAATGTAATCAACATCACAAATGACACCCTCTTTGGCCTTTGAACTGTAGTCAGAAGTCCCTGATTAAATGATTACTGATTTTATACTGTAAATGAAACACAATGTAATCAACATTACAAATGACACCCTCTTTGGCCTATGAACTGTAGTCCCAGATTACACATACCAGTTTAGATAAAACCATTAATGTAGAAATAAGCACTGCTTACATCACCTGAACCATGAACCCAAACATGAATCTGCAGTTTTTAAAAAATTCATCACTCATAATCTCAGACACTATAAAATGATAATTTCTTTATCTTGGCATCAACATCTACTCATGTTGCACTTTTAACTTCCAGTGAAACACGGCAGGCTTGTCTATATTTCACCCTCAAACATTGTGTTTTGCTCTTGAAATTCTCTCAAAGAAATGTACAGATTGTACACTTATTCTTATTTTATATGTAGTCAGAAAGTTTATTTGAAAGCTAAATACCCAGGCAGGTATATATTTAAGCAAATCACAAAAGTTGTCATCACTTGGATGCAAAAGAGTAATGTTGGTAATGGCAAAATAGGCAAAAGAGTAATTTAGATTTTTAGAACTGGATTAGATAACGAGAGGTAGACATTTGCACACCTTTATAGTCAAGTTGGATTTTGAAATTTCAAGAGAGTTTAATTGATAATTCACTGTTTACTTCAATTCGTGATTGTAAAATGCTGCTAAAGATATTTTATAATGCTAGGTCTGCATATTACATGCCGCCCACTTTTTGCAAAAGCAATGCATACTGAGCTAAATCTTTATTCAAAGTCATTCAATGCTGATTTTATAGCAATTAATTTACTCAAGTTGCTTGATTTTATAAGCTTTTCATATTTTTCATACAAATATGTAATAATTTACAACAAAGAAATAGTCAGATCCATAATCTGAATCTTTCAGTAAGTGAAATGAAACAATATTAAAAATAGCAACAATGAGTAAAAACTGCACCTGTTTCTTTTTTTGTCCCTAGTATTTGCAGTATTACGTAAATCATTTAGAGAATCATATAGTGTACATCACAACACAGTTGTACACGTAGTTGTATTAATCACGTGTCCAAATCTCATTACCTTATTCAAATGTTTATATAAAGTCTTAACTCGATGCCAGTAATAAATATATTACACATATCTCAAAAGATTTTATAATAGTACGTTATACATACATGGCTATTGGCAACATTGAGTAATACACCTTACAACCGTTAATAAAACAGGAGTTAATGCGCGGTTTCAAACTACCCCTTTGTCAAGGCCCACGTTGCGGTTTCAAGTCACCCACCTCCATTTTGGAGGCAGCTGAAAGAATACTAAAATAGTAATGAGTCAAGGGAAAAGGCAATGCCTGAATGTTACAGCCAAAGGATTTCTAATTTAAATATCAGCCGGGCACCATTTCAACTCCAATGAAAGGAGAACAACTTTTGAAAGACCTAGCATTGGATAGCTCCCAATTTAGCCAAAGGATAACCAAGAAAAATGCGGATTTTTGTATATATATGTATATTTTATGGGGGAGGGTTTGTGGCGAGGGAAAGGACTCAAATGCCAATGCTTATGACCGTCTACAAAACGCGAACATATGTACAGTATATTGCATAACTAATGGAGCAGACAATCTTCACTTTAATCTTTATGCAATCAATTCATATGAAGCTGAATTTATAATTCACAGCCTGACTTTACTGTTCCTGTCATGTAAACCAAGGGAAATGCCAAATATATTTTTTTTCGTATTTCAAATCAAAATCGCCAGCTACTTCCAACATTGTTCCCAGACGATCCACGAACGGTTAACTTAATGGTATGTATAACGATTTTGCGGATAATAAGACAGTAACGGTTCCGTGTATCACTTTCTGAAGGTTTTGCGATCACCAGACATACCCAAGTATGCACAAACCTGATTAACGCATTCTAATAAATAGTCATTTGTCTTTAGTAGGCGTATATAATTAAAAATGTACAAAAGTGATTACAAGGCGGTATTACAACCGTGTTATGTGTTCACTGACTGGAGTACAGTGAAGACGCGTAATTATATATAACCTTCTTTGAGAATAAAATTAATATAATAAAATGAATGCGGGTAGATTAGTATAATTCATGTGAATTCTCAGACCTATGTCGTAA